GGGGTCCCGCCGCCGCTGTCCGCGCTCCGCCAGGCGCTCCCGGGCGGCGGCCGCTCCTCCCGGAGCTCCGGGCGGGGGCAGGGGCCGCGCTGGTGCCGCCGCTGCCCCGGCCCGGCCGCGCTCGCAGCCGCAGTGACAGCCCCGCTCGCCTCCTCTTCCAACTTCGCGAAATAAAGCTGCACTTGCCGGTCCCGCGGCCGCCGCCTCCGCCCGCGGCTTTGCGCTCCCCCTTTTTTAAGCACAAACAATCGCTACTTCTGTTTCCTAAGGACACGAAGCCGGTTTCTCTCTCCTCTTTTTTTTTTTTTTTTTTTTCCCCCCCCCCCCCCCCCCTTTTTTTTTTTTTTAACCTCATCAGCTTTTTTTGAAAAGAAAAAAAATTTGAGCGCTTTTTGAGTTGAAACACCCGCCCACATTTTAACGGCACAGATTTAAGGAGGCGCGGCGGAGTTCGGGCAGGAAGGCCTGTAGCGGCTCCCGCCCGCCCCTCGCCCGGCCCCGGCCCCGGCCGCGCCGCCGCCGCAGCCCCGCGGCGCCGGGTGCCGTCCCCTCACCGCGCAGCCCCGGCTCGGCACTGCCCCGCCACAGCCACCGCGGCCCCGCTGCTTTTAGGAGGAGCGCTGCCGAGGCCTAGTGGGGGGGAAATGAAAGGAAAAGGAGCTTTTAGCGCCGGGAGCCCCCCGCGCCCCGGCGGGAGGACCGGGATCGGGGGAGCTCGGCGGGCGGCAGGGCGGCCTCCGCCGCGGCGCTTCTCCCCGGCGGGCTCCACCTGCCCGCGGGGGGAGCGGAGCCTGCTCCGGTCCCGGGCTCGGTCCTGGACCCACCGCCCTCGCTCGGCGCCCCGCGGGGCAGCGGCTCCGCGCTCGGGGCCACCCCGGCAGCGGCGCGGGCTCCGCTCCCCGAGGACAAGGTCAAGGATGAAGGGTCAATGTCAAGTTGTCTTAACGGTGGAAAGGCGACCGTTCACGGCGGCACTCCCTGCTTCCCGCGTTTCTGGTGTCCTTGATTGATTTGAAAGTGCCATTTTGAGGGGAAAAACGCACCCGGGCGCCGAGGAGACGCGAGGGCTTCCCCAGGGCGAAGAAGCGAGGATGGTACAGTACGGGGATGTCATCGCCACTCTGCCTTACACTATTTAGTGCCTTAAAGTGCTTTAATGGCCGGATTGCTTTAGGTTTCAGGGACCCTCGGAGGACTGAATTCTGCCAAGCGAACCCTCCGAGAGGTAAGGTGCAATGTCATGGCTCCCTGATAAGCACACGTAACCCATCGGTTGCAGTCTGCACGTCTGTTTTCTGCGTGGACGCCACGGGAAGATGATTTTGAATGTAAACAGGCGTGAGGCAGCTCGGGGAGATGCGTTAGGGAGGGAACCTGTGGCAGCGACATCTCCTCCAGCACTGCCCTGCGGGGGGAACCTGCCGCTGGCAGCCGGGCAGGGGCCGGAGGGGGCCGGGGCCCGAGTCTGCAGGGATGGACCTACAGCTGAGTGAAGCCTGTATGACTTCTGCATCTGGCTCTCCTCTCAGCGTCAGTTGCTTTTTGTGTCGCAATTTAATTTTTCTGCAGTGATTCCCCCTCCCACGCTTGTTTGTGAATATACAAAGGTGACAAGTGTGAGCTGCCTGCACACCGAGCAGGGAAAGCAACTTTGTTCAATTTATCAACTAACCCCCCACTCCCATTAAAGGCCCGTGTATTTTTAAAGGCCTCACTGTGATAATTCTCGTCCTGAAGTAACAGCGCTTTTCCTTCCTTTTTTTTTTTTTTTACAGTTTTGTAAGGAAAAATATGAATTATAATTTCCCTCAAAGTTAGCTCTAGAAATATATATACACAAATATAATTTATTTATTCAAATATAGTTGCTTTTCTGCATAAGGAAGGAATTTATATGCAAAACTTCGATTATTCATTCAGATGGCTTGTAAGTGACTTTATTTTGTGACTAATCACTACCTAAAATCCACAGGCTTTGGTGGTGTTCCCTGTTGCTAAATTACTGCAAAATTAGACCTGCAAGTCTTACAACAGTCTCACATTATTTTTTGTTGGTTTACAGTTCAGAATAAAGTTCGCATCTTCTGTTAATCACACCACATAGCAAAAGTAATTAAGTAGAGGGTAGCTGGAGTGCTGCAGGCCTCCTGCAAGTAGAACTGCCCGGCCAGAAAATGCCGCGAAGCCTCCTCTACCGCGGGGCTCTGTCAAACGCCTTTGCAGAAAGTAGCTCGTTAGTCCTGATCGTTTCGTCTCATGAATGACGAAGATAATCCCCCTAAAACTAAAAGAATTGTCCCAGTGGGCTCCAGAATCATCAAAAAAAAAACAACCTTCTGGAAGGAGATCTTATCGTTGAGCATTACAAGGAGTAAGATAAGCAGCTCCCTAATTTGTCTAACACTCTTTGAAGAACACAACACAGCTCGAGTGGCTCGCAGCGAGGGGTTGTGAGAAGGTGAGAAGGGGAATAGAAACTTTCGTTGTGACTTGAACGTGAACTTCCTGCGACGTGGGGCATGTGCAGGTTTTCACCTTCTCTTCACGTTCTGGATCAAATCCTTCCTGTTTTGATCTAATATAGATATCATTATTTAAAATATGACTGTAATAGACGTGAACGTCGTGTAACTAATCTTGACAACATACCTATAGCTTCAATTCGTGCCAGGAATTAATTGGCCTTACTCCAGTTGCTAAAACTCGCTTTTCAGCCTTTATTATAGTTACTCTCTAGTAATGTGTGGGTGGATTTGTTTGTAATTTAGCATAGGCTGTACCTGGCATTGCACCATACCTTGTACTTATTACAGAACTGTCTGTAACATAGAACGGGGGGAAAAAAAATGTGCAGGTGTGAGGGCAATTAATTTATCATCCCTCCGGTCGGCGGTGGGGAGCTCGAATTGTTAAGCTAACGTCAGCGGGCAATAAAACCCTCTTGGCAAGCCCTGCCAACATAAACTAGAGCAACAACACGATAAAATAAAAAAACCCCCAGCTCCTCTGACGCTGTGGCATTGCATCGCAAGTGGCGTTTCAGTGTGGCGTCCGCCCGCCCGCCCGGGGACCCGCAACACCGCCGCCAGACGCGCAGCTCCGGCGCCCTGGAGCCCGCGCCCCCCAGCAGCGCCCGCAGACGGGCTCTAAGCAATTCCCAGGGTTTTTTCCTTGGGAACACGGACTCTCCTGAAGGTACAGTTTAACTTTTCATCCCCTCCTGTCGGCGCTTAGCGTGTGTCCACGGTCGCTCCCCGCCACAGGCCCCGCCGCCGTGGGCGGTCGCGCCGGGCTCCCCCCGCAGCTCTGCCCGGGGCCAGCCCGGCTGCGGCGGCAGGAAGCTCGCAGGGTCCGGGAAACTCGCCTGTAACTCTATAAAAACCCAATAAAGAACCGTGTTCCCTAAACCCGGCGGAATATCTTGATTCAAAGGTATCATCGTGTGGCTTTATTAGCTGATAGGAAAGCTGCTCGATGCCTCTGTGACCTCAGATAGTTGCGACACTCACAGGACACTCCTACAAAAAGCACAGCAAAACATGTTGGACTAATTAGCAAATTGGCGTCCAAATGCGTGCTTAATGTCAGGAGGGGGGAAGGTGAACTGCATCAGGTTGTAGAAGGCAGACTTAGCATTAATTACAGTTAGATTTGCATCACTTAAAGCAGATTTATTTGCGGTATGTAATAGAATTGCAGCTTACAGTGCTGGAGTGCTAAGCCTGAGCGAGGGCCGCTGTGCAGATCACGGGTCCGTCGGCTCAAAAACCTGTGGAAAAACGCACTTCCTTCTTTTGTAACTAGTCGGAACACGGCGGGGGGGAAAACCACCGAGCTGTACCGAGCCCCGGCCCTGTGCGCGCCCCCCGCCCGGTGGGGTCGGGTCGGGTCACTCGGCGGGCACAACGGTACGGGCTGTCGGGGGGGTCGGGGACCGAATCGCTGCATTCACCGATGGCACCGCGGACGGATGGAGGGAGGGAGAGATGGATGCAGGGAGGGATGGACGGACGGATGGATGCAGGGACGGATGGACGGAGAGGCAAGGCCGCCCTCCGGCCCTTGTTTCCCCGCACCGCCCAGGGATGGCCGCAGCCAGGTCCCCGCCAACCCGCTTAGGCCGCACTCGGCGGTGGAGCCCAGCCGGGACATCCCGCGCCGCCGCAGGGCCCGGGGAGCCGCCAACCGGCGGGACGGGACGGGGGCTGTGCCCGCTCCCTCGGCCCCGCGCGGGCGGACCGGCGGCACCTCCGCTGGGCAGCGCGGGCCTGGGCGCTCCGCTCCGCTCCCTGGGCGCGGGCCCGCCGCGCCCGCAGTGCCCGCAGTGCCCGCGGTGCCCGGTCCCGGCGCGGTCCCGCCCCCGGTTCTCTCACAGCGCTTGACAGGCGGGCGGTCACGTGCCGGCCGCAAAGCGCCTCTTTGCG